ATTACTCCTTGTAGCAGATGGCCCAGGTCACAATTTGAACGGTCACGAGTCATACTCAATGTTACGTCGAAATGGACAGCACCGAGTCCAGCCACATAGCTTATTAAATAATGTTGCAGTCCTAATTTCCAGTGCGCGATGAGGTCCTGAATCATTGAAACCAGCATCTGCTCTCACCCCGCTTTCCCCTGACAGGCGGGGGTCCAATACATATGATATGGATCTGGCACCTGCAGCGATCTCTGCACACCTCGAGGTTTTCATTCATAATATCGGCCGCTATAAGCCTGGCTACCCTGGCGGGAAGCCAAGGGTTTGGGCAGACCACGAGGGTGCGGACCTATCGGGCGACGGACCGCTACGGCAAAGCTTATGTGTGCCCTCCCTGCGCTTCCTGCCCCCCAAGGAACCATGGAACACAAGAGACGCTTGCTAGGCTTGCTCTCAGCTCTCTCCTCCCGGCCGAACTTCACCTGAACCTAGCGCAGCCTCCCCAGAGACTAGGTAACCAGAGTTTGTCTCGTCACAAGAGCCCTGCTTGTTTCCACCGGAATGGGACCCTTGGGATGTTTGAGGAACCTTGTTTGGAGAAACTCCACCTATATTGGGCATGTCGGGGGGTCAGCAATAAGTGGGCAAAATGACACAGGACAGAAACTAGCAGGCAATACGAAAAGAAAGAGAACATTTTCGGAAAGCGATTCGTAAAATTAGCAAGCTTTAATTACTAGTCACTAAGCGAGCATCATCGGCGGAATAAATAGAAAAAAAGGCACAGAGAGCTCTTATATTTTATATCTTCGCTCGGCCGAAATGCACATCACCGAAGACATCAGAACATGATTGTTGGTGATTACTGCTGTCTAGGCTCGCAAGTTGCGGGGCATCTCTAAATCTAGACTTCGGAGAGTTTTATCTCATCTAATGCGGCTCGTTCCGGGATCGCATGTTTCTTTTCTTTCTATAACGTCCGTGTTGATTTTTGGTATTGCATGACTAGTAATGTAATTATCACGATACGATTCGCAATGTGACGATTCGAATATGAGCGTGCATCTGTCGTACCATTATCGACACGCACTGACAACTCAGCAATGTATAAGAAAACCTTCGAGCCTTTGAAAAGCCTTGGTGTAACGGAAGCGGAAGAAGACGGACTTGTATCAACTTTTTTATTGACAGGTTGCGATTAGGCTACACCTCACACAGACCAATATATCTGGGTCATGGCTAAGTGAGCCGTCTATCTAATTAACTGCCTATATGTCTTGTCAACTAAGCATCTGGGTAAGCTTGTTCTCCATTCACCGTTACACATTACCTCAGTTTCCACTCTCAACAGGGTCAAAATGAGTTCCACTGCGGAATTCGACAATGCTGTATGGAACATGGCACTGTCACAACTGTCGTCCTTTTGTAAACCTTGACATAGCTATAGCTATAGACTCCATATGAGTAGCTACTACGCAATTCACACTTGCTTCAAAAACATTGTTCAACATTCGGCTGGGCCGCTGCCGAAACATTTGCATCAATTTCTCAATTCGAAACCTCAAAGATAATAGCAACCTCTGTTTACCGACCATACAAAGCTATCCTCATGAATCAGGACCCCCTTTTTTTCTTGTTCTTTTTCCCCCTCCGCCCAGCGCCCAATCTCCACTGGGCTGGATCTCAAACGACTAAACTTAAGCTCGTCGAGGGTCCTGCCATGTAACAGAGCTCAAGTCCCCTCCCCTCCCCATTCCAAGCCATCAGCACCATTAGTGACTACAACCTCACCTCATGGCTATTTCGATTTTTTTTTCTCCCCCTTATCCACCGAGAATTGGTCCCCTCTTTTCGAAATGCTTCTTGGCTCACCCGCATGATTGCTGCCGAGTGCCGAAGGGGAGGAAAACAATCTGAAAACACGTCTCGGCCTTGACTACTAAATGCGTGTTGATACACACTCCACTGGGCCTCAACCAAACCCGCCAGAGCAGTCGAGAATCAAGCCATCGCGCTGTCAATAATCACACCCACCTAGACTGCCAGAGAGAAATCAGAGAGGCAGCCCAGAAAATTTCGAAATCCATAGAAAGGAGATTTTCTTGGGCATGACCGGGGTGCCCAGTGAGCATTGGGAGGTGTCCGTCTCGTCCCTATGCAGACCGGAAACGTATCCAGGCTTTTCCTTCTCTCGTAATGTCCGCAGATGATATGACCGCAGCAAGCAGCGAGTTATGACTCTCATTGTAGCATTTCCCCCATCTTGTCAAGGTCAAGGTCATTCATGCAGGCACTCTGACCCTGAATGGCAAGGGATTCGACTTCCCATAGTTTGGGACCAGTTTGGTTCATCACCTGGCCGCTGCAGTTTGCATCCCGGTATAGATGCACGATACCTGCACCACGCATCACATACGTGCTTTACATGCAATACCTGCTTTGCATGATCACTCCCATAACGCCAAATCGATAGAGATTGGCTCTATCAGTCTTCTTGGACTGGAACCTACCGTAGGTATACAGTATAGTCTGAGCAACGGTCATGCTAAAGGCGGGGTCGCCAGGTTCTGCTGAGACCGCCGCCCGTCTGATAACCCTTTCCATAGAAACATGTTGCTGGTTCTTCGTTTGGGAGTTCCTTGAGTCGCCATTGATAGTCGCTCTTGAAAAACAAGGCACATCCTGACTCCTGTAATCTATTTTTTGCTTCTTCGAAACCGACTCCCCTAGTTGATGCAGCGCGGGTGAGCTTGGGGGCTTTGGTCAATGTTGCAATGTCATATATAGCTTGACCGAGAGGATCGCGGCTTGACTACCCCGATTAAGACTATAGTTTCGAAGCGAGGACCTTTTCCCTTTCCTTCTAGATTATCGAAACTGCCACCAACACATTTGGTACAGATTCATGCACAACTTCAATGTATACTCCGAAGTGCAAGCATGTTAAAGCATAGCAGCATAGACTATGCGGAGAAATTATCGTAGAATTATGCTTCTGGTTTTCCGCATGTCTGCCGGGGTAATTTTCCCACTCCAGGAGTAACATAAAATGTCACTCTTGTCTATATCTGACTGGCTGCATACACAGTCAACGGGGCTAAAACATGTATAATGCATGCGCACTAGCTTTTACCCCCAAGCTGCATGTTTCATGCAAGGCAACACAATAGGTAACACATACAGGCTAGGGCATCTCGACTTATCAGATCATGCTTTCTGCCCCAGCTCCAACATGGCGCAGCAGCGGAAGAAGAAGAAGAAGACGAAAAGCAAAGCGAAATTCCATTGATGCCGTGCCCGTCACAGCACATATTATACATTATAGTCTTTAAGTGTCAGAGCATCACCGCTTGCACTACATGGAATGTTTCTCATCAACTCCATTGAGGTCTGTCTCGGGTGACGGCAGCCGCGCATACGCATAATGGAAGCGCTGTTTCCTCGTCACAGTGACCGATTGTAACGCGACGCTGCACGGGGACTCTCTTCCTGTCACCATTTTCTTTTCTCTCTCTCTCTCTCTCTCTCTCTCGGGGGGAAGTCCAGGTATCCTACTGTAGTGTAGCAATACCAGGTTACATAGAACATGGGGGGTTGGTCATCACGGAGACTTGGGTTTTACGACCGATGCAGAGATTTCATCTTCATCCTTCCTCCTCATAATCATCATCATCATCATCATCCTGCTCGGGGCTGCTCGGCCCACGGCTTTTGCTTGTTACCCAGTAAGCCGCAGCACACCCCAAATCAATCTTCCCAACTGGAGATTTTTCGTCCGAACCTTGATGTCGGTTCCTGCATGCAACAATAACGCATAATTAGTATACATCGTACATAGTCTGGTAAATTACTATGTAAGCTGGATCCTTTCTATACCAGACTGTTGGGATCGCCTAATACTGACCCTTCCTCTGCATTGTCTCTCCTCCTCTCGCTGCTGCGAGCCGAGCCTGGCGTTGTAATGCAAAGGTGAGGGAGCGTGAGACTTTTGTTTCCAAGGCTTCTTTCATGCGAACGGTGGCTGTGATGATATCTGCATGATTCGGCAAGTCTCGAGTTGTTTCCGTAAGAAACAGTGGCCCCGGAACCAGTGCACCGGGGTCGGCATTGATAGGCACAAACCAGACCGGTGGAGAGTGGGAATTGGATTGTTTCGAGCATCTAGACTCTGCCACTCAGGTGAAGCAAAACTTGAGCTTTTGTCGTCTGGTATCATTGTGTGAATTGACTGGCTCGTTTCGTTTGAAGTCGCCATTGCTTCTTCCGCCCTCCGAAAGCTTGGCTTGGGTGCCCTGGCAGTCCAAGAAGCATTGCCGACGCTGCCAGTGAGGTATTTTGGGGACCCTTTAACCTCTTTCATCACACCCGGGTCTCTTTGCATGCGGCAACAATCCGGGGATGTTGACCTGCTGTTTCTGGAGAGGGCTTGAGGTCATCGCCGTTTGACCATCTTTGTAGGCCGTGACTATGCGGAGTCTCTTCCACAATGCGCCAAAATCTGATAGCAAGGAGGTTTTACGTCGTTGAGTCTGAGTGACACCATGATCGGTGTGTTTTTTGCCACGAAACTACTAAATCTTTTTCAACAATGTCATGTTTGTGAGTAACAGCGTGTGAGTTTTGTACAATCACCGTGATTAATGGTAGCGTATAGTGCATACATACAGAGAGACTGCGGCAAGCTGCGGCCCTACGGTCGGCGTCGGCGCGCGGGGCAAGCAAGCGCCCGAACACGCATGAATATAGCGCTGGACTAAGCTAGCTATTGGGCATGCGAATCATCGGCGGATCCCGCGTAACTTTAGCGATGGGGCGTCTTTCTCAAATGCGGAAGGAAGAAATCGCGAAATTCCTCTCTGTGGCACCGGGCAACCGCATCTGCACAGCCAGCGGACCTAATTTGTGAGACACCGATTGGGTGGTGATTCAATGAGCGCCAAATGAGGGGCCAAACCATCTCGAGGAGGGGCAGCATCAGTAGTAGCAACAGCAGCGGTAGCAACAGCAACATGCTCTTCAAGAGTCTTCACATCACCCTCCGGAGCCCGTCCTTTACCCAATTGACACGCGCTTCGTCTGCAGCCTCAACCGCAGCCTCATCAGCTTCAGCTCCAGCTCTAGCTCCAGCTCATCACCAACAGAGGCGTTCTTTCAGCTCCACACACCACCACCTTGGAAACATGGCTGCCGCAGTGCGCGACCCCAACACGCTGTCCAATTATAACCATTGGCTGACTCGGCACACCACCGTCAACTTCCACATCAACTTTGAGAAGCAGCGTCTCGAGGGTTCCGTGCAGCTCGACCTCGAGTCTCTGACTGACAACGAGAGCGAGGAGATCATTCTCGACACCAACCGTCTGCACGTGGCTTCGGTCAAGCTCAACTCGTCAGATTCGGAATGGAAGCTCAAGGATAGAGTCGAGCCCTTTGGCTCCCCTCTGAGCGTCGCCGTTCCAAATGGCCGCGCCAAGGGTCAGTTTGTCACGCTGGACATTGATGTTGCGACTACCGCAGACTGCTCCGGTCTTCAGTGGATGACTCCCGAGCAGACGGGAAACAAGAAGCACCCCTATGTCTACTCTCAGTGCCAGGCTATTCTCGCGAGATCCATTCTCCCTTGCCAGGACACTCCAGACGTCAAGTCTACCTTTACCTTCAACATCACCTCGGCCCTCCCCGTCGTTGCTAGTGGCGTCCCCGATTCTTCACGTGCCACCGGCGAGGGTGAGACGTTGTACAAGTTTTCGCAAAAGGTGCCCATTCCTTCATACCTGTTTGCTCTGGCCTCGGGTGACTTGGAGACTGCCCGCATCGGCAAGAACTCCGTGGTTGCTGCCGGACCAGAGGCCATCAAGGGTGCACAATGGGAGCTGGAGGATGACATGGACAAGTTCCTTGATATTGCACAGAAGCTCGTTTTCGATTACCAATGGGGCGAGTACAACGTACTGGTCCTTCCCCCAAGCTTCGCTTACGGAGGTAGGCCATTTCCACAAAATCACAAGATTCCTCACGTTTTCTAAACCCTTTTAGGCATGGAGAACCCAATCTTTACATTTGCGACACCTACAATCATCAGCGGTGACCGACAGAACGTCGACGTAATTGCCCATGAGCTTAGCCACAGCTGGAGCGGCAATCTCGTCACAAGCTGTAGTTGGGAGCACTTGTACGTTTCTGCGATGTAACTCTGACTAGACAGACGCTGACCTTGCATACAGCTGGCTGAACGAGGGCTGGACCACCTACCTAGAACGACGCATTGGAGCAGCTCTTCATGGCGCTCCGCAGTTTGACTTTTCTGCCATCATTGGATGGAAATCTCTTGGTGAGATAAATGAGACATAAACATGCTCCACATGGCATGACTAATGATTTACGGCAGAGGATACTGTAAAGCTGCTCGGACCCGAGCACGAGTTTACCAAGCTCATCATCAGCCACAAGGGCGTGGATCCCGAAGATGCCTTTAGCACTGTACCCTATGAGAAGGGCTTCCATTTCTTGTGGTATCTCGACAAGCTGGTAGGACGAGAGCACTTTGACAAGTTTATCCCTCATTACTTTAAGACCTGGGCCCGCAAGAGTCTTGACTCGTTTGAGTTCAAGCAGACCTTCCTCGACTTCTTCAATGCCTACGATAATGAAGAGATCAAGGAGAAGATTGCGCAGATCCCATGGGAAGAGCGTTTCTACCAGCCTGGATTGCCACCCAAGCCTGAATTTGACACTTCTTACGTCGACAGCTGTGTCGCTCTGGCTGAAAAGTGGAAGCAAGACGTATGTATCGCCCTGGCTGGTCGTTTGTTCAGATGTTAATTTCATAGCAGGACTTTAAGCCAGACATCAAAGACATTGAAGGGTTCAACGCAAACCAAGTCCTGGTCTTCCTGCAAACCGTTCAAGGCTTCACCCCCACCATTTCGGTTGAGAAGTCTCGACTGATTGGCAGCACGTACCAGATCAGTGTCTCAAAGAATGTCGAGTTGAAGTCGGCATACTATGGAATTGCTCTACGTGCCGGCGACAGATCCGAGTTCCCCGGCATTGACGAATTGCTAGGCAGCGTCGGTCGCATGAAGTTTGTGCGACCATTGTACAGAGGACTTGTGGCCTTGGATAGGGACTTGGCTGTCAAGACTTTTGAGAAGAACAAGAACTTCTATCCTTCCACAACCAAGGGACAATTGGCCAAGGACTTGGGCTTGAAATGAGCTTGATATTGCTTTAGTGTAGTAGCATAAGTCCAATCTGAAAAGCAAATTCTAGTCAAAATAGAAATTGTATGTTACCTCGATTGTGATTGATACGCATGTTAATATTTCGTTAGAAACACACATTACATTGAATTGATGACGCTTCATAATCGTGCTCTTATTTAGCCTCTAATTTTGTGATGAGTAGGTATGTTACAGGTCACCTAACAAAATATTTATTCCCAGGAGAAAGCACAATAGTCGCTGATCTAATGTGCAAAGCACAATGCAAAGCACAATCAAGGATGAAATTATCACAACATGGCCTTTCCGATCATCAAGGCAAATGAGCAAAGACACGTAGAATGCGTATTTGATTGACATATATCTTGTGCTATACATTGTTCCAAAGCGAAAGTTGGGGCTTATAAACTGGGGATGCCCTCCTCTGTAATACCCATCGTATGTACATACTGAGGTGAAGAAGCAATAACACCCGCATTGCGCCAAGGTGACACAACCTCTGCCAGGGAATGAGCTGGGAGTGAAAGGATAAGAAAAAAGCAGCTTAGAAAGCAGGCTTGGCGTTCTTGAGAAGCATCTCGAAGTAGGCCTGGTTCCAGGTACCGGCCTCGGGGGCAGGCTTGTAGGCATCGTCCTTGCCGCAGAAGCTGTCGTAGCGGGTGGCGCTCGAGTCCGAGGTGCCGTCGCTCTCGCCGCCGGGCTTGCCCCAGACAAAGGCGTCGGTCTGGGTGTCGCCCGTGTCGGCCGTGGGGCGGACGCCAAAGCCGGCACCGTTGACGTTGCACCAGTCACCCCACTCCTTGCGCAGGCCCGTGACGGCGTTGCGGCCCGTGTCCATGATGGCGTAGTTTGGCATGCCGGCCGTCTTGAGCGCGGCGCTAAACTTGGACACGTACGTCTTCTCGTTCTGGCAGCTGTTGTACTTTGCGTCCGAGGCGTCGGCGAACTCGCCGGGGCTCTGGTCCCACGAGTTCCAGCCCGCAATGTTGGTGGCGAAGCCGCGCACCTGCTTGGGCGAGCCGGCGTTCTTGTACACCTTGGCCAGCTCCTCGGCGCCCGGCTTGAGGTTGGCGTCCCAGCCCAGCCAGCCGCCGTGGCCCGCGTCAATGTACATGACCACGTTGGGCAGGTTGAGGTTCTTGAGCGCGTAGGCGACGCCCTCCTCGTAGGCGCTCTTGCTGTCCTTGCACGTCTGCAGGTCCGAGTTGGTGACCAGGTTGGGCAGTGAGTCGGGCTCGATCAGGAGCGCAAAGGCCGTGTTGGGGTTGGCCTTGATGATCGTGACAATGGCTGTATGAATTTGTTAGGAAATAATTGAGCTTGTGTTTGTGACCACGGACAGGGCTTTGACGGAATGGAGACATCCAAGGAGTCATATGAAAAAGCAACTTACGGTCAATGTATTCGGACTTGTAACGGCTAATCTCGCTGTACTTGAGTTCACCGTTGGAGGCTTTGGCAGCACAGTCACGTCCCGGGAGATCGTAAATGACGAGACCGAGAATGTCTGAGCAGGGAGTGTCCGCAATGGCGGGAGCCATCTTGGCAATATTGGCAATTGTGTCACTTTTCAAGAGTCAGCTCTCTATCTCTATACTCTTTGGCAAGTCCAAAGAGCGCAAGCATGGCCGTTTGGCAACTTACATCCACAAGAAGCTACCGACGTCGGCAACCTTGGCGGCAGAGGCCTTCAGGGAGGAGTCGGTGATGGCGTCGACGGCCTTGTTGACCTCGTCGCGGTAGTAGGTGTTGGCGTGGAGCTTGTAGTTCTTCCAGACATTGGTGCTGGCATCGAGAGTGACGGCCGAGCTGCAAGCAGCACGGTTCGCAACCTTCTTTGCGGGAGTGGCTACATCACCGCTTGGGGCGGCCATGGCGCCGGCGGCGAAAGCCGCTACAGCAGAGGTGACCTTCATCTTGGATAGAGACCAGGTCGAAAAGAGGAGAGAATTATCTAGAGAGCGTGAGGGTGCTAGGTAAAGGAGATCATATTGACAATGGGGGCTCCTCTCCTCTTATACCAGGAGATTTTCCGTCATGAACACAATAGCTCGGAAAGTAGCGAGAAGTTCTTGCCACCATTGCCACTCGTGTATACCAATAGGTTCTTCCGGAATGAACATCTCCTAGAAACGGTAATCAGGAACACAGGGCCGCAATTTGCGATATACCTTCGGTATACTGACTCCGAATTGAGGCAGTTTCGGTAGCCACTGAGGCAAGGCGGCATACAGCTAGTGGGGGCATTCTATATTGAGTGTCCTCTCGGGTCGTTTCTTTCTTGGCTGTGCCATTTTCTCAATATGGGGGATCATCGGCTGTCACCTGAGTACCCTTGTGTCGGTCCTATTGAAATATAACGCGCAGGATATCTAGCGGCAATACCATGGGGTAGCATTGTATGGTAAGGTACACAACCTTTGGTGATGGACCCTGAACCAGATCGCATTGACTTCGTGGACTTCTTGGCAGCAAATGGCAGTCCATTCACTTTCAGTTCCCAAATCATGCCTATTGAATAATTAGCCCAGGCCAGGAAAATAGTATATTCCGATTCTGATCAATAGTCTCTGCCAAAAGTGAGATATAGCGTCCAAAGTGTCCTTCATGAATCGGACCCTGCTCATTCTACTGCTCAGGTAAAGACGCTTAGGCTGTACGAAGTGCCGCCTGCGATAGAGGCAGCGGCTAGCCGCAAGGCACTTTGCAATGGGAATCCGTATCTTTGGCCTGCAAACGTTCAAATAAAGTTAGTTTATGCGCGCAAGATACTCTCGGAACATAAATGTAGATCTTGGCATGTCGATTTAGCCGCAATCAAGGTCAACTTTTAGCAAATCAGAACATTCGGGTAAAATCGACCAAGCTCAAAGAGGAGGCAAAGCCCTCGGCAAACTGATCATCGGAATTGGGAAAGAAAGCCACCATGAGGTCCATACGATGTGGCGTCGCGATATAGTATGATACCATTCGGCTGCTCTGTGTTTTGATCTCGGATGTCAGCTCCGAAGCGCCTCGGCAAGCATAATCAATGCATCTCATGACTATAGGTTGTCCCATCTCCTGCAACCACCCAAGACTTCTCGAGGAGGTGTGGTCACATTGGATAGGCTTGGCTCAGATTTGCGAGGAAGATCAAATGTCCTCAATATTGCACCGTCTTTCCTCATTCAACCTTGCCCAAGTTCTGTGCTCTGGCAAAGGCATATCGAACACTCTATATACATGTGTAACTTTTTGTTGTACGTGACAAAATGCTCCCTTTGGTGATCTGGAGCTTCTTTTGGTTTACTTTTGGAGAACGCCTCTTACCACAAATTGCGCTGCCGCTAGAAGCTTAGAACGGGGGAAGGGCGAAGGGGTAGCCACCATTCTTGATGCGGAAAATGGCCAGGAGTCCACCATAGAGGAGGAAGACACCTGCACTCAGAGCAATGACGAGGCCCTGCTGGAAGTTCTTGTCGGCTTGTCTTGGGGCTCTGAGAATAAGGGCAATAACCATAAACGACAGTGCACCATCTGATGAAATGTGAGAAGATGTTTCTAAGCCAACGAATGCCGTATGCAACTTACAGATGAAGCCAACGATCTGAGTCTCGATGCCCAGCTGGTTCTGGAAGCCGCCGGTGAAGTAGTTGATGTTACCCTTTCCATCTCCAGAAACATAAGGAACCCTGCGGATCTGGTTGAACATGTGACCTCCAGTGCAGGCCAGAATCATGATGATGGTAAGCGTGGCCCAAACGTTACGGTTCTGGACAACAGGCAAAACGTATGGCCAGACCTTGAAGCCAACAGCCACTGCCCCGAGCAACGAGACAGTACTGGTTATCCACAGGATGTAGTTGATGGGACGCTTGACGGCTGGCTGAGGTCTGTCGGGCATCTGGCGGGCGATCCAGCTGTGGACTTGCTCTGCAACTTGGGGTCTTGGCAGCGTCAGTATGCTTCACGTTCAGACAGCCTTGCCACGGGAAACTCACCCATTGGTAAAATCGTAACGAAGGGGTTCGACGGTCGAGACAGCATGAGGTCCAGTGGTAGGCTGGAAGAGTAAAAGTACGGGAGCGGTTTGCAAACCAAGCTAGAACCGCAAGTTAGCAGCAGGTTTGTTGTAGTGAAGGTGTCGGGCAACAATTGGCGGCTCATACCGAAACAAAGGTGTCTCTTCCATCGGCAAAGTCCAAGGTACCGAAGATCAAGCGTGACTCTCCCTTCTTGTCACCCTTGGTCCAACTCTTGCCGAGGAGCTCCCACTCTGGCTGGAACTCGCGGCAGAGCTGGCAGCCAAAGCGGTTATCCATGGCTGTCAACAGCACGGCGGCAGTGTAGTCGCGGGGCGCGGTGGTGAGCTTCTTGTAGGCCTTGTCATCGAGTTTGATGGGTGTGGCAGCGGCCACAGCCTTTGTGTGGAATTCCTCGAATCGGTCGACGGAGGAGGCTGATTTCTTGGCGGCGAACGACCCAAAGGGCAGGGCCAAAGACAGCAGAACGGGTAGCCAGCGCATGGTGAAGGCGGCGTCCAAAGGGCGAACGATTGAAAAGAAAGGAAGGTGGCCGTCGATGGGCAATTGAGTGCAATGTGCAACGATGGGCACAATCTCTGAGCAGGACCACGCAACAAATGGATGCTGATGTCCTGATGCGAATGAAGCTCCTCAGAGTATAATGTAGGTTCAGCAGTAGCTCCTGGACTTCAAAGGTGGCCTCAATCAATTGGACCTGGACTCTTGGCTGGAGCTTCGTCACCCACCGTGGCTCTGCAGGGGTCCCGATTCTCCACACTAAGTCGCGGTACGTACCTAGCTAGTGTCTCTGGATTACGTAGCCAAAGTCGGTCCGGCGCCAATTCCGACACCAGTCCCAAATTGGAACTGTGTTTACTTACCCCGACTCGATTGAGCAGCCGCCCACCAAACACGTCCATGGTCCCCCGTCTTCTAAAGCCAGAGCCCTCACCTCGGACCCATTTCCATCACCACCGCAACCCTGACTTCATCATAGTTCTATCTTCCCTGCCTGGTTACACTTGCAAGCATGTGTTGATTTGTCTTTTCGACATCTTCGAGACCGTCTTGAACAACTCTTATCTACCAATTTGGGCTTTGTTTATATCCATCCCACCGAATTTCACATCAACGCGCCTTCACCATGAGCAAAGCTCGTAAGGCCACTGGCCGTGACGAAAACACCGACCCGGAGACTATAGAGCAGGTGAGAAGACGGCACATTGCCCTCGATGGTTTGTCCCTCAATAGCTGACCGTTTGTCCTCTTCAAGCGCACCGAGCAATTGCACGAACTCGAGATGAAGCATCAACAGGGCGCCAGCAAGTCCGACCTTTTGATCAAGGACGAGGACGTGCGCCGTCTTAAGCTGCGCATCCTGATGCTTCGCGATGAGAATACAACTTTGCGCGACCAGATCATCCAGAGCAATGACGAGAATGCGGAATTATCAACACAATGCGAAGATCTCGGTACTCAGCTGGAGGCTAAGATCCAGGTGGTCCGCTCCCAGGAAAAGCAGCTGCGCAAGCAAGAGCGCGAATTCTCAAACCTCAAGGTATTTCTAGCAATACAATCTCATAAGATCATCAATTACTGACGACTCTGATGTAGACTGAGCTCCAGGCAATGAACAATGCCAACCAAAACTCGACAGATGCGTTGGCCGAGAAATTGGCCCTTAGCCGCGAACTTGCTGTTCTCAAACCTGAGCTGGAACACCTCCGATCCCAGCTGGCTCATCAACAAGCCACTCTAGCCGAGAAACTCGCCCTCGAGCGCCAAGTCAGCACGCTGGAGGTTGAGCTCGCAAATGAGAAGAAAGCAACTAAGAGGGCCATGAAGAAACGCGAGAGTACGGACCGAGTTGAGGATGACCTCCGCAAACAACTACGTGAGGCCGAGAAAGAGCTGGCTGCTGAAAAAGCCCAGCGTCAAAGATTAGAGGACCAGCTTGCACAAGAGAAGCAGACACACCAGTTGGCGCTAGAGGATCAGGATAGCACTCGCGAGGTTCAGTCGGACCTGCGTAAGAAGCTCCAGGACGCTCAGAAACAGCTTCGTGAGTCTCAAGAGGAGACCGAGAAGCTGGCAGAAGAGCTTAGCACCCAGAAGCGCCAGGCGCACAAGACACAAACAAAGGAGCAGAACGCGAGCACTGATGTTGCCGATGAGCTGCGCTCGAAACTTGATGAAGTCGAGAAGAAGCTCTCGGCATCCCAGCAAGAAGTCAAGAAAATTCGGGAGAGCGCGCGTGAGTCGGTCGATGAGGCCAATAGGCGGAGCGATGCATTTGAAAAGAAGTTTGAGAAGCTCAAGACAAAGCACCGTGAGCTCCAAGACCAGCTCAAGCAATCTCAATCAGAACTCCGCAAGGCTCAAAAAGGCCACACATCGGTGGCTGAGGAGATCAACATGAAGAGTGTTGGGCGCCCGACATTCAAGAGGAGGAAGGGAGACGATCTTGGCAAACCAGACTTCTCCCAGATCACGATTGCAACGCCCAGCGCCGACGATCAACCCCGAAAGCCTCTTAAAAAGAAGGTAGTCGAGCCATCGTTGTTAGGAGAAAAGTCCACCTTTTCGATTACACCATTCCTTAACCGGGGCAAGGAATCCGGAGGTGATGATGCACAGGAAGATGATGACGATGCCGCCGATCAAAGTTATATCCCGCTAGCCAAGCGGGATGAAGTCAGTCCACCGGTAGTCCCCATCATTGCTGAGGTCGAAGCCGACGCGGAGCCATCTGAGCCAGTCCCGAGCATGCCTCAAGAAGAGGAAGCCGAGAAGCCAAAGCTCCAGCCCAAGGCCCGCGGTCGACCGAAGAAGATACTTGGTGAAGCGCCCTCGGTCAAGAAGAACTCCCAGCCTCTGCCAAAGACGGCCATGAAGAAGGCTCCCAAGGCTGCGCCTGCGCTGGAAAAGGTGGTCGAGGAAGGACAGGAGAACGATCAGGAGCCGGCCGAGAAGACACAGTCTGTTAAGTTCGACGTTGCCTCGCCGCAGGATATCAGCACATCTTCAGCCAACACATCCAATGTACCCAAGAAGGAGGAGCCAAAGAAAAAGAAGCGCAAGGTCTTGGGATCTACCAAGACGCTCTTTGACGACGAGGAAGAGGCTGTGGTCGAGGCCGCTCCCAAGGCTGCCGCCAGCAAAGCTCCAACGGCTGGTGGTGCAAAGAAGAGGGCGCCGCTGAATGGTGTGCGCAATGCGTTTGCAGGTGCTTCATTTTCACCCCTCAAGAAGGACAAAAGAGGAGTAGGGGCCAGTTTTCTCGCATAAAGTCTGGGGACCCAGATGTATTTGGAGTTTCCAGGATAGGGATTGTTTTGCATTTTTAGGCGTTAGGGTACACGGACCATTTTCTGGCTGGCTTTAGAGGTCCATGATTGCATTAGCCTTGTAGGAATACAGATGAATTTTCGATGCATATTTCGTCTTTCCTTTTGAGTATTGTTATGTAGGTATGATGAGACATTCGCGGATTCATGCATTGCTTATTGCTTCTTGGTGGCTGCTGATACTTGAATGTCGCTGCGCACCCATTGATGCAAACTCCCCGTTACGTGCATGAAACTAGCCTAGCATCGACCGCGCACCTTGTCAAAACTTGCAGTCCAGGTCTTCGTAGCCTCGCACCGCATTATCATATAAAATCAATCAAGATTGGAAAGCGTATCATTACGCTTTCTGAATTCACTGGTTGGATGAAGGGGTTGCCGAGGACGGCATTAGTGCTCGATGGAGCGCTTCTGAGGTTGAGGGCGCCGACATGCTGCCTGTCGTTGGCACGACCCATTTGCTGCGCGCCAGTCGCGTCGTGTACTGGCAGTACCCGCTACTCGTCCTCAAATTCGCGATGGAAGCAGCGGCAGGGTAATGACTTCTTTGCTCGCGAGGCCCGCGTACAGGGCCTCAAGAGCCGGGCAGCTTTCAAGTTGCTCGAGGTGCGTCTACCCTGCACGAGCTGGTTTCCCTTGCCATAACGAGCAGCCCAAGGTCATGATGACTAACGAGCATATCAGATGGACTCAAGGTACAAGATCTTCAAAAAGGGTCAAATGGTGGTTGATCTGGGCTACGCACCCGGCTCATGGTCTCAGGTCGCCCAGGAGCGCACCAAGCCGAGCGGCCAAATCGTCGGAATCGACCTGATCCCCGCCCAGCCGCCAAAGGGCGTGTCGACGATACAGGGCAATTTCTTGAATCCGGCGGTCCAGAACCTGGTCAAAGAGTACCTCCGAGAATTTTCTAGAAAACCCCCACAGTATAGGAAGTCGGCTGAAGATGAAGAGGGCACCATACTTGATGCCGCAGAGTTCGAGTCCCTCATCAAGGGCAAGCCCAGTTATATCGACGCCGAGCGGGCAGACACGGCTGAGCATGCGCCGTTTGACGACGGGGGTCGATTAGTTGATGTCAGTCTCGTCCCCTTGCGCGATCCATGACACGAACAGATTCAAACTCCGACCAGTCTGCTGATAATGTCCACAGGTAGTGTTGAGCGACATGTCAGAACCTTGGCCACAAACTTCCGGTTTTTCCAGTAACACGTTGAGTAACCCGTATCGCAGGATGATGAACACGAGCGGAATGAGCTTTCGGGATCATGCCGGCAGTATGGTAAGCACAAAGAAAAGAGAAAAGAAACGGCGCCGGTCTAGTAACTCCAAGCTCTCGCTGACTTTTGCATCGCTTAGGATTTGTGCCTTGCTGCGCTGCAATTCGCCAGCGACACCCTGAGGTCGGGAGGCCACTTTGTTTGTAAATTTTATCAGGGCTCCGAGGACAAGGATCTGGAATTGAAGCTCAAGAAGATGTTTCGAAGGGTAGCTAGAGAAAAGCCCGAATCTTCCAGAAACGTGAGTTGCCCATCCTGAAGATCTTTCGCATTGCAAATCGGATACTAAGAGCGATACACCTACGATAGGAATCGAGAGAAGCCTTTTTTGTAGCTCTTGGGAGAAAGAGCGATGTAAAACTAGAGGAAATCACCAAATAAAGATAAGAATGAGCTGACGAGATCTTCGCCTACTCGGTGCAACGGGACGTCCTTGGCCTGATCAAGGAGGGAAACTCTTCTCCGTGCACATGACCTGATCATAGGGAAAGTGCAAAAGAAGACAATATGGATGTTGAGCATTTCATGATTCGCAGTTTCCTGGAATCAGCTTGGAAGCAAAACAGACAACCATGTGGGCTTGCTCGTGTCATTGCCTTGGCATCTGAACTTGAACCTAAACATACAAACCAAAACAAATGATCATGCACCACCAGTACCTCACTTTCTTGGCTTTTTGGCTCTGATCTCTTGGTCGCATTTTGGATCGCTTTAGGGGACAAACACTTGCACCACTATCACTAGGATGGCCCACGAGGATATCGAGAAGCCCGAGAGCCAGAAGACCTGGAACTCATCTACCGACACCTTTCACGAAGAACTCGAAGACGTTTGTCTTGATGAAGACGTTCAGAAACCTGTCCCTCTGCCGCCCGGCACCCGACCGGAGGTATTGAGTAATATTGTCCACGAATGCTTCTTCGTCGCTCTCATTGCCTTCGGCGCCGCATCATCTGTTTTTCTTCAACGTTCCATGATCGTCGTGGCTGCCGACATCAACAAGAGCTTGAACATGAGCCCGGCGGAGACGGCTTGGGTCAGCGGAGCGTCTGGGTAAGTTGTGCTCTTTCTACCACGAGGAATACGCCTGATCTTGACGAAAAATGACAGCTTGACCACCGGCGCATTTCTCATCCCTTTTGGCCACCTGGCAGACGTCTGCCCTGTGTTGTCGCGTAAACATTTGCTCATTCTAAGTCTTACGGCATTCTCTCTCATCGTTGCCTTCACATCTTTTGCAAACAGCGGTATCGTGGTTGATATCATGTCCGGCCTGGCTGGTCTTGCATGTGCTGCAACCATACCCATCGCCGTCGGCATATTAAGCTTGGTCTACCCGGAGCCGTCCCGTCGCAAAAATATCGTATTTTCTTCCTTCTTGATGGGAAACCCAGCGGCGATTATTGTGGGCGGCCTCGGTACCGGCGGAGTGGCTTCAAGCTTCAGTTGGAGAGCGACGTTCATCTTTTTAGGCATTTTGTATGCCCTAGTCACGATACTTAGCTGGTGGATTGTTCCCAATGTTGTCGAGTCCCGCTCGAACCCGAAACTGCGGCGGGCTCAACGGTGCGATGGAGCCAGTCCGTTTGTTCTGGTTTCCAAGAAAATCCCAAACATTGGAGGAGCTTTCCAAAGGTTCGACTGGACGGGATTGTTTCTTCTCGTTACCGGCGTGCTAATGTTCACGGTTGCCTTGACCATTGGGCCTGAGGGACCCCAGCCATGGAAGACGCCGACAGTGATACTTCTACTGACCCTGGGACTTCTTTTGTTGGGCAGCTTCATCATGTGGGAAAGTTCGGCAAAAACACCAATGATACCGCCGGCTATCTAGGAGAACACCAGTGTCTTGTTGGTAGGTCCATGGAGACGCGACCGACCTTGCAGATATCTGACATTTTGCTACCAGGTCAATGTATCGGCCTTGGCTTCAGCAATGGCATACTATCCAACCGTATTTTGGATCACCATGTTTTTGCAAAAGGTGCAAGGATTAGAACCCTTTGATGTGGCCGTCCGCCTCTTACCACAGGCATTGATGGGTATATTCTTTAGCCCATTGGTTGGGCTCATCATGGATCGAACATCTGGCACCGTGTTACTCATTGTAGCTGCATCGTGCTCGGTCCTCAGCAACTTGCTGCTTGTTTTCTTGCGCCAGGAGACAAACTACTTTGCTCTCATCTTTCCGTCGCTTCTTCTCAGCACGATTGGTATGGACTGGACAATGAATGTTGGATCTGTAGGTGCCTGCAAGACCAAAGCCTATTCTCTAGATTGCATCTGACCTTGATAAGCTATACACCCTATCGGTACTGCCTCTGGAGCATCATTCCATTGGTGCTTCTTTACTTCAGACCACTCTGCGCCTCGGTCTTCCACTTGGGCTGGGAGTCACCACCGCTGTGTGGACTTCTTTCGATGGTTATTACGACCCCATGCTGTCTTACTCGAAGACATTCATCACTACGACTGCTTTTGCAGGCTTTTCTCTTGTATTGGCTCCATTTATACGAATCGGAAAACAAGGCTTTTCTCACCCCAAGTCGGTAAAAGAGAATCAGTCGGACAATTATCGACCAAGCAAGCGATGGTCTTACGTCGAGACTATTTCCTCTACCAGCAGTAACAGCAGCAATAGCAGTAGTCCGACGAGCAGAACCCCTAAACCTGAACTGCCACCAATCCGAACATCATCATTCTCGTCGGAGCTGTCAATTGAGAAGAACCGGAACTCGTCTCGTGAAACGCCAGTCTCGGAAGCTCCCAAGTCTAAAATTGTCTGGGTCGTCTGCGAACAGTGTAATGCTAGCCGTCGCGTTACAGACCCGGTGGGCGACCCAACAAAGTACTTTAACAACATCTACGGTACGCTCGAGAAGCCAAACCACGACATGATTGTCAATGGCCGAAGACGGTTTCCATTGGCTGCAAAGAATCAAAGGACAAACTCTAATAGTACAGCGACAACTGGTGGATGATGGTCCGGAGACATTACTTGGGGTGTGCAGTCTCATTGGGAGCCTTGCGGGAGGAACATTATTTGGTGGATGTTCATGGTTGGAATGAAGCATCTTTCTTTAGCTGATGTTGTATTATATCACTTTGGTTGCGAGGCACGAAATTTCTATTAGATTGCGCGGCGCATTTCGCTCACTTGTATGAATATTCGTTCAAGATATGTAATAAACACGCGAGCCTTGCCCAACATTTCTCCACTACTTACAATGAATGCACAAATTATCAAATCTCCAGGGGTAATGCAAACACAGGATGACGGCAGAGCAACAAAAGGAAGGGCGGTAAATTCATTGATAGCTATGGGAAGTAGCACAAGGCAGAATAATGGGGGGAAAGGAAAGGAACCCCCCATTCCTCTCCAATTTCTCTCTGCGCCCATCACCACGCATGGACCAGAAAAGCCACGCTCGGTGATGAAAACCATTTCGATAGACCTGGGAATGGCGGCGACGGGTTCTCTATCGTGATTGCACATATTTAGAAAAAAGAAAAAAGTCAGCCTGCCTGCTTCGAACCATCCAAACACTCAGCTTGGAATCTTAAAAAACCCTTTGGTATGCTTGACATGCCACGGGGCCGGGATGGCCTTGTCTTGAGGCCACCATGTGCGCATGAGATTCCATGTGTCCATGGGATGGATAACCAAGTGACCTAGAGGCAACCATTTGCGTACGCGTGTATGGAATGAACCCAGTGAATCCAGAATAGCAAAACCGTTCACAACACAGGGATGCCATGTAGGGACATCTCCCCAGAGATAACTTAGAGCTGCTTCAGCTTTTGAATCCTTCCGCACTGAGTCGTTGTCCCGAGTGAGCCAACCACTGACTAAATTCCGATAATGAGGAGACACTGTACGCTTCTGATTTGATGTCGAGATGCTAGAGAAGCTGCTGCGTCGCTTGATACTTAGTTCCAGGATTTCTTCCGATGACAGAAAACTCCGACTGGGCATTTCTGGTAATTTTAGAATCATCCTTCTTATAGGGTGGTCATAATCATTGTAGGGAAATAACCCGCCGTCATTATTCCGGTCGTCGTCATTTCTCCTCGATTCAAGTGACTTTGAATTCTTAGAGTTTCTCATTCTTAGAAAGTGGATACTTCTCGTCACCCAATTGGCGTCAAAATGTTTTCTGGGCGGAAGCTCATCCAGTTCTGGGCTGCTCTGGGTTCGTTTTAATTTTGGACGCCCAGTTGTTATTGATCCTAGCAGAGACAAATGAGTTTAGCTGGTCAGTTATATTTCCCATAATCGAGGGCTTACTCCTGAACATCACCTGGCTTGCTGCCAGTCTCTCGGAACGCGAAAACAGTCGGGCCTCTGCTGACTTTTGTCTGCTTAGTCTTGTTGACACCATATTGGCACAGTTTGACCTACGCTGAGAAAACGAATGATCACCTTGACAGCACCAAGCACTCCAAGTATGAATGGTATCAGTTGGCCAGTGGATCCAATGTCATACGAGCTCTGCACCGCATTCCAGATGATCGTGAGTTCAATGCCCACAACAGCCAACACAAAATAGGTCAAAATCGCGCCCAGATATAATTTATAGCTGATAGGTCAGCAGTAACTAAATGATAGTAGAGTGATTGACTTACCGAATGGAGACTCTTTCGGGATGAGTTTCCATTGTCGAAACGGCTTTCTGGTGCAATTCCCTCCCTCGAATGGCATTCCACCAAGAAACCACTCCCGCGAAGAGTTCCCAAAGTGACCCCGTGGTCGTTGCGGAGGTTGCCTGGGCCCATGGAACAAAATATGTAATTGATGGGTTCTGCCACAGTCGTCCTTTCTCCCGCTTCTGATCATTGCTATCGTGCCGTGTTGAAGTTGATGCGTCCTGACTTTTTGCACTTGACGTCTGTTGGCCTAGGGTATCGAGAAATGCTGCCGTTACTCCAAATACTATGAACGCAGGGAACACAATCATGAGTAAAGGAATGGTGAGCACGGAAACAACGGCCCCCGCCGCCACGAGGAATGCGAGGTACGCCAATATCCAGGTTGGTGGCAAGATAGCCAGTAAGATTGAAGTGAGTTTGTAAAAGCCCCGCAGGCCACCAAGAGCATCGAGTTTGGAGAAAAAGAAGACATATGGAGAACAGTTATCCACAGATCTTGCGTGAAAAGCATCAAGGCCCCGGAACCAGAACCATGCATTATATACGCTTATCATGGCGATAACAGTATACCTGAAGACAAGAGCCGGCGCACGGCCGATCAGTGTGATGAAATTGCTGTTTCGACGAAAGGCTTTGATCTCATGGGAGAAATGACCCAAAGAGAATCCGCAAAAGATAATCAACCACAAAAGCCGCAGTAAAATGATGGAATCAACGGCATCGATCGTTTGCTCAGGGGTACTTTTGACAAGGGCAACAAAGATGGCGAAAAGAAGAATCAAGTTGGTGTCATGGTATTCGAACAGAAGAGAATTTGCCTTGGAGTCGAATTGGAACATGGCTACCATGGTGCAAAGAAGTTGCAAATAAATACCGAGGCGGATTCCAAGGCCGTAGAAATCCGGATTGCCAGCGTGCAGGCATTGTGCTGTACTCGACGCATCTTGCGTTTCTCGCGGGGTCTGCATTCTCGCAACGGGCATCGCTGATGCCAAAACCGACATCACAACGAGCAGTCCTGGTCCTGTAAGCATGGTTCCGCTTTGTTTGGGCTTGACGATGGCAGAAATGCAAATCTTTCTAGGAAACGCTACTTCGTGGAGAGGGTCAGATGCGAAGCAAGATGGGCTATTTGAAGAAATGTCCATAAGGCTTTGGGGTTACACTGTTGCAACCCTTACTCACACTGATCGGGCACCAAGACATCAGCCTCACGACAGGCAGACTTGAGATGCAACCTCCGAAAAAAGTCCAGCTCTGCCTTGTTCGTTTCGTCACGGCGAAAAATGTGTTCCCCTTCGCCTTGACCTAGATGCATAACAACGCCGACAAACAGTATTGTCGTGAATATGGTAAATCTGCCAAGAATACAGCTATTTCTATAGTCCAAGGTCTGAAATCTGGTGCGTCGCATGGCTGTGTAAGTTACGCTGCGCAATATCAAATTATCACTGCATAGCATTTAATAATCGAGATTGTTTTGGTACAGGTCTCGCTGGAGGGGTTCTTACTCACACACTGATGCATTTGTGTTGGCCATCAGATTTTATCATTGAGCTCAATTTGTGTATCCATCATGTATCTTATTGTCGTGCCGAGTGCGCCTTGAATGTTACGGTTGCCTGGAGGGCAAACTGTTGAGAAATCTCAAATTGCGCAGCGAATAAGTAAGTTACCTTATTGATGATTATTGAAAAAGAAAGACAAATAGAAAGAAAATAGTAATATTTGTATTTGTATTTAAAACTTCATTTTTACCCCATGTAACTCGTACTCACGCTTATATAGCTGTCATAGCATATTATAACAAGGAAACCCCGAAATAAAAGAGTGTTTTTCAACACTCTGCCCTCTGGTGCTTCATAGAATGTCGGCAGGCTTGTGCATCAGAACAACATCAAGAAAGATGCATCATGTCGCCCGCGATTCTCCCGGGGCCCGCTTGATTACCTAGTAGACAAGACGGACAGAAGGCCACTGTTTATCTGGCTTGTCTGAGGAGGGAAATGATCAGTGCCTGAAAGGTTGCATCGGCAACAGATAGGATGTTGCCGCATTCGGCCGGGTCTCGGGACTCTTTCTTGACGCTATACTGTAAACCCAACCCCCGACGTCCTTCTTTCTCCACTATCTGGGGGGGATGAATACCCCACAAACTTCAAGATGATAAATAAACAAGAAAGGCACACATACTTGGCACGGATAGTTATCCATGGAAATAGGGAGTAGTCTCAGTGGGCCTGGGGTAACATATTAGGTTAGCAGTTCAGCAGCTTTCAACGGCCCGCTTCCGGCGGCACTTCCGATTCCATCTCCGATGCAGCATTTCTGCTTTTTGAATGTTTGGAATTTCGTAAAACCAAAGCGATGTCGCTCAATGACATGATGCAATTCATGTCTATTGAAAACATGACGGGCCTGTAGAATACATCTCATGTCCCCATCTCCCCTTTCAAGCTACTCTGTATAGACCAGCATTGCTAGAGAGCGGCCCCCTGGCATCATGACGTGATTTAAAGGTGCAATGGTGATTTACACCGCTTGGGGTAGTTGAAAATCGGTCCTTTTTTTTGTTGTCAAGTGAAAAAAACGGCTCCGATTGTTCTAATCTGTAGAACCCTGTAATGCGATAATTCACTATACGAACAGAGTGATTACATATCTGATCGGAGCACGCAAGTTTGCAGATCATCCGATAAGAACCATTAGCACGACAAGGTAAACAGGAGACATGAACCCATATAAGGAGACCCGGCATTCGTCAAAGCGAACGGGGATCAGGCAGGACAGCGGACTAGCCAGACTCGATTCCTTTCCATAATGAGGTCTATCATTCACACTGTTGCCTCGGTGTTGGTAGTCGCTGCGCCTGCAGTGGCTGCCGACAACTACACATGGGCCAATCCTCCTTCGGAAGTTCCGTACTATGGTCTCAGTCCTCCCGTCTATCCTACACGTAAGTAGCCTCTGTCATTCCATGATATATGCGGATCCTCGTGCTCAAGCGTCACCATAGCCCAGGGAAATGGCACCACTTCATCAAAATGGGCAGATGCCTATACAAAGGCCAGGGCCCTCGTCGCCCAGATGACGCTGGAGGAAAAGACAAACGTCACGCGCGGGTACACCGGCAGTTGCGTGGGCAACACGGGCGCCGTGCCCCGGCTGGGGATTGAACCCATTTGCTTTGCCGATGCCCCGGATGGTCTGCGGGGCTCCGACTTTACCTCTGCGTTCCCGGCCCAGCTGCACTTGGCGGCGACCTGGGACAGAAACTTGATGTACCAGTGTGGTAAAGCGCTGGGAGAAGAGTATCACGACAAGGGCGTCAACGTGGCGCTGAGTCCCGTTGCGGGCCCGGCCGGGCGTGTTGTTACCTCGGGCCGCAGCTGGGAAGGGTTGAGTAGTGATCCCTACCTGGCAGGTGTGGGTATGTTCCATGTCACTACCGGTATACAAGAGTCGGGAGTCATCGCTTGCGCCAAGGTGAGTATGGGTCTTTGTGAACAGTTCACATCGACGACAATGCTGACCATGTCATCAAGCATTTTCTACTCAATGAGCAGGAATTTCGTCGACTACCAAATCAGACGCACACTCTCGCCGACGGCAGCACGCTCGCTGAGCCCGTCGGAGAGGCAATGTCTTCGAATGTCGACGACAAGACGCTTCACGAACTGTACGCATTTCCATTCTACGACGCGCTCTTGGCTGGTGCTGCTTCCGTCATGTGCTCCTATCAACGAGCAAACAACTCGTACGCCTGCCAGAACTCGAAGCTGCTAAACGGAATACTGAAGACGGAAATGGGTTTCGAGGGTTTCATTGTATCTGGTAAGTAATTTGGTCCGTCGTGACGCAACGTTCAATACTGATGGCTGTGACAGACTGGCAAGCACAACACACTGGAATCGCGTCCGCCAACGCCGGTCTCGATGTAGTCATGCCTGATGGTGGGTACTGGGGAGGCAACCTCACCCAGGCGGTCAACAATGGTTCGGTCAGCACCGATCGTATCGATGACATGGCCACGCGCTTGTTTGCTTCCTTTTATTATCTGGAGCAGGAAGACTACCCAGAAGTAGGCGTGTTTTCCGATACGGTGCAGCATCCCATTGTTGACGTGCGTGGTGACCACGACAAGCTGATCCGCGAGATTGGCGCCGCGGGTCAGGTGCTGGTCAAGAATGTCAACAACACGCTCCCCCTACAGCACCCCAAGTTTGTTAGCGTTTACGGCTACGATGCGGATATCAAGGCCGACCCCTGGGAGAACGTCGCCCGCTACGGCGGTGGATACGAAGTGAACTACCCGTGGGAAACCTTTAATGGTACACTGATTACTGGAGGTGGCTCGGGTGGTTCGTCACCGCCCTATGTGGTTACGCCTTTCCGGGCAATCCAGGACCGTGTCGTCAAGGATCACGGTATGGTTCGATGGAACTTCTGGTCCGAGAATCCGCATGTGTCGGCTACCTCTCAGGTATGCTTGGTCTTTATCAATGCCTATGGGTCCGAGGCAAAGGAGCGGCTGTCCTTGACCGACGAGTTTAGCGACAATCTCGTCATCAATGTTGCTTCCAACTGTGCAAACACCATAGTGGTTGTCCACTCCACGGCGGTCCGTCTGGTAGATGCCTGGATTGAGCACGAAAACGTTACTGCCGTTATACTCGCCGGTCTACCGGGACAAGAAAGCGGAAACAGTCTTGTCGATGTGCTCTACGGCGATATTAGTCCCAGCGGTAAGCTGCCGTATACGGTTGCGAAAAAGGAGGAAGACTATGGTCACCTTCTTCACCATACCAACGACACTAGTTTCTTCCCTCAATCCAACTTTACCGAGGGTGTTTATATCGACTATCGGGCATTCGACAAGGACGAAATCGAACCTCGCTTTGAGTTTGGATTCGGACTGACGTACTCTGAGTTTACCTACTCAAACGTTCAGGTCACGCCCGTTAGCGATGCCAACACGGACCCCTTCCCACCAGAGGCGGCAGTCGTCCAGGGCGGCCATCCTAACCTGTGGGATGTTCTCTTCAACGTGACCGCAGAGGTCGAAAACGTCGGCAACTACACCGCGGCCGAAGTGGCTCAGCTTTACGTCGGAATTCCCACGGGGCCGGTGCGATTACTCCGTGGTTTCGACAAGGTGCTGACCAGCCCTGGGGACAAGGTGACTGTATCCTTTCCGCTGAAGCGCCGGGATCTGAGCATCTGGAACGTGGACGCTCAGCAGTGGGAGTTGCAAGCTGGCGAATATCCAATCTGGGTGGGCGCGAGCAGCAGGGATCTTAGATTGAACAGTAGCATCACTATCTAGTAGAGTGCAAGCTGTCAACACCAATAGAGCTTTGTAATATGTCCCAGAATAACGTGATCTCAATCTTGATGGTGTTGGTACGAAGGTTGGCCATTCCTCAATCAAGAGGCCAGAGCCATGCTGCAAAGAGAGATGGCATCCAGACTGCACAGTATTAACGATTACTCGAGGCAAAAGACTGTGAAAGAAGGCAACGCGATATGTTGATGATGCTGATAGGCCCTGAAGCCTGGGTAGATCAACAGTAAATTAGTAGGAAAACACGACTACCTATGTAGGTACCTACTAGGCGACTACTGCTGCATACTGCACCGGTTTCCGCCCACTAAAACGTAGCTACGGAGACTTAATGCATGGGGCAGATTGTGGGGGAGTGGATAGTGGTCAGTTGGCGCATCGTGTCATGATTTGACCACTGCCAACTCGGTGAGCATTGGAAAAACGGACCATCATGCCATTGTATTATCTGCATCCATGGATAGTGTTGGTTTGCATGACTTTTCTCGTGCATGTTCCTGTTTGTTGTGTTTTCTGTCGTTGACTCTGCGGCGAGATGCACTACACTTGCCACACTATCACAATCGTCAGCCTTGAATTCCTTAGTTTCCATGAATACTGGCTTTCACAGCCAATGTTCTAGCCTAGCTCTGAGGTAAGAATTCAGCTCGGTACAATAACAAATGAAACTTGATCTCATGGAATCAAGGAAAGATCGACTGATCATCAGATTTATTCTCGAGTTTCATCATCTGAATTATAGTCAATATACTGGGGCTTCCATATATTATTCCTCACACGAATACGTAGGTATGTAGTAGGTACTGACTGTTTCTTTACACATTCACATGCTCTTGACATGACTTGGCGCTTCCCCAAGATCTAGAAGTGTCTCGAGTCAGATCAGGTGGGTCCCCCAGCGTTCCCGCGGTAAGCACCGAAGAGCCAATCATGGTGATTGGGATTACGCCGCCATGCCGAGGTATGGCGACGGAATAGGCCTAGTTGGGTGGGCTGCGACCGCTGCAACAGCTGCTCTTTCTCCAGATTTCTCTAAGATAATGCTGTTGGCCCTTCTGGGTAAGCCGCCGTCTTGTCACGCGGCGGCGCTGGGCCAGTACCCCGGATATTCGAGACTCTTTCTTTTCCAATATTAAGACAAATCTGTAATCTTGTTTCTATCTCTTTTTCCAAATCTTCCTCATCCCCTTATTCTCTTACTGACTTGTGGTGTGTCATATATATCGAGGGAACATTTAGTCGACGTCTCTGTTTCAAGCTTCCAAGTGCTATTCACTCGTCGTCTGCTACTTTCCGTGTACATATATATCTTCTAATTGTTCCATTTGATTTCCCGCACGCCCATCATGGCCAAGACCTTCTCCCGCGACGAGGTCGCCAAGCACACTACCGAGGACGACGTGTGGTTCATCATCGACAGCAAGGTCTACGATGTCTCCGACTTCCTCGATGCCCACCCCGGTGGTGAGGCCGTCCTCCGCCAGGTCGCCGGAACCGACGCTACCGTCGCCTTCTACAACCTCCATCGCCACGAGGTCCTGACCAAGTACGAGAGCCTCGCCATTGGCACCGTCGAGGGCGAGAAGCCCTCTGTCATCACTCCCCAGCCCGGTGACCTTAGCACCGTCCCCTACGCCGAGCCCCTCTGGCTCTCCCCCGTCTACAAGAGCCCCTACTACAACGAGTCGCATCGCCGCCTCCAAAAGGCCATGCGCGTTTTCCAGGACAAGTACATTACACCAGAGGCTCAGGCAAGGGAGGCCGATGGAAAGTACATCTCGCAGGAGCTCATTGACCGCATGTCCAAGGCCGGCATCCTGCACATGCGTCTGGGCCCCGGCAAGCACCTGCACGGCGTCAACCTGCTGGACGGTGCCGTCAAGGGCGAGGAGTTTGACTACTTCCACGACATGATCCTGGGCCAAGAGGGTTCCCGCGCCAATGCCCGTGGTTTCCAGGACGGCAACATGGCCGGAATGGTCATCGGTCTGCCCTGCATCATGAACTACATGAAGGACGAGAAGCGCAAGAAGACCATCATGGATGAGGTCTTTAGCGGCAAGAAGAAGATGTGTCTCGCCATCACCGAGGCGTTTGCCGGTTCTGATGTTGCTGGCCTACGGACCACGGCCGTCAAGACCCCTGATGGCAAGCACTACATTGTCAATGGTACCAAGAAGTGGATCACCAACGGTGTCTTCTCCGACTACTTTGTCACTGGTGTCAAGACGGACAAGGGCCTGAGTGTCCTGCTCATTGAGCGCGGAGAGGGCGTCGAGACCAAGCTCATCAAGACCTCCTACTCCACCGTCGCCGGTACCACATACATTACATACGACAATGTCAAGGTGCCCGTAGAAAACCTGATTGGCGAGGAGAACAAGGGTATCTACGTTATCCTTTCCAACTTTAACCACGAGCGGTGGACCATGGCCTGTAAGTCGAAATCACCTGTCAACACAATATCTATCAAACAAAAACTAACATGATCCAGGCGGTTCCGTTCGCAACATGAGAACCGTTGTCGAGGAGTGCCTCAAGTGGGCCCACCAGCGCATCGTCTTTGGCAAGCGCCTCATTGACCAGCCCGTCATCCGCCAAAAGCTGGCCAAGATGATTGCTCTAGTCGAATCCCACCAGTCGTGGCTCGAGACCATCACATATCAAATGTGCAACATGCCCTACAAGCAGCAGTCGAGGTACCTTGGCGGCCCCATTGGTCTGCTCAAGATGTCCACCACGCGGGCTGCCCATGAGATTGCCGACGAGTCGGTACAGATCTTTGGAGGCCGTGGCCTGACCCAGTCGGGCATGGGTCGCGTCATTGAAATGTTCCACCGTACTTACAAGTTCGATTCCATTCTCGGTGGCGCCGAGGAGGTTCTCGGTGACCTGGGTGTCAGGCAAGCCATGAAGGAGATGCCAAATGCCAAGCTATAAGAAATATAGAGACTGTAAAAATTAAATAAATCTCAATACTTCCGCTCAATACTTCCGCCATTGCTAGTTCGAATGCGATCCTGACTTGTATATAGTTGAGATCATTGGCTGATAAGCATATCAAACATGAGGTGGAAATGACTTCAATAAGAGGACGCTCATATGTATTCGTAATTCATGGCCGATCGATTCCAAATGTATGTACATGTTGACAATTTGGTTGGAATTATGTTTACCTGACTAGGTCTGTGCTATATGTACATTGTATTGTATATATTTTGGTCCGCGTTTCAAATTCTCTTTTCCCTTGCCTTGCTGGCTATTCTTGAGCTTCTGCGTTGAAGATGGATTGACTCTCCGTACCGCATGTTCAGAAAATACGAGATTGTTACCAGCGCTGTCACCCAATTCAGCGACCTCATCGTAATGAATCATTTTCTACAACGTAGAGGGGGCAGTAGAGTTCAAAGTCGCGTCCCAGTCCAAGAAAGTCGCCGGCCGCAGCTGCGCATCCGCCGACGTCGAGGACGACCTATCAGGGTCCGGGATAGTGACGTTGCGAATCACACACCCACCAGCCGGCGGGACATAGGACCCGTCCAAGACGCTCTGCAAAAACGCAAACGCCCGTGTACTCTCGGCATCTTGCTCGTCCTTGTGCGTGGTCAGGGTGTTGCGCTCATAGGTGATCTCGGCTCCGGCGGCGCAGTACTTGTCGACGAGGGCGTCGGTATCGGCAATGGGGCTGACCTCGTCGCGGATGGCCTTGTACACGTACAGGGGCGCGCGCGGCACGCCGTGGTAACCCATGAGGCCGTCGCTTTCAATAACGGCTTGGACACGGGGGTCGAGGAATACGGCGATGCCGCCCACAAAGTAGTCGTAGATGTTCTCAAAGGCAAACATGGGTGCCTCGCGGTCCAGCGTCAGGTTCTGCACCGAGAGGAACTTGTCCTTGGTGTACTTTCCCGTCGTCTTGAGTCGGCCAAAGACGAAATCCTGGGCATCGGGGAACTGGCTCACGAGCCCAACAACCCCCGGCGGGATCAATCCTGCGCTGTACGTCTTGGTTACGGTATTGAAGACATTAAACACGTCGGGTGTGAGACCTCCAATGGCCACGCCGCTGACTTCGAGCTCTGGTGCGTATGTCTCTTGAAGTTCTGCCGCCCACTCGCTCGCCAGCGCACCGCCAGAGTATCCCCATAAAGTGTTCTTTGCATTGGCAATGCCTGGCAGTCCCTGGTCACTCGAAACTGATGCACGGAGCGCATCCAACGTGGCCTGCCCTGAGATGACGCCCGCCGTAACTGTAAGTCATTAGTACATGTTGCTTCATTAAAAGTATGGTTGTACAATGATCCGGATTGAAGATGGGATATTGAGGCGACTTACATGAAGCAAGTGGGCCTTCGTAGTCTGGTACAGTCACATAGTAGCCAGCATCTAGGGCGTTTTGAATCTCCGCGACGCAGTTTCCGGGTGTTCTACCAGACTCGGCGGACTGAGACAGGGTATAACTAGGGCCAGCGTCGAGATCAGCCGAGTCATAGGGAACCTGATACGACAGCAGAGCGTTGGAGGTCGCATCAACGCTACTTGGAATTAGTAGGGTGGTGACAGCCCAAGACGGCTGAGCATTGCTGTCGGTGGTACGGTAAAGAATGTTGTAGGCTGCAGCGAGGTCGTCAAAGGTTTGGCCCAACTGCCCCTGAGCGACCCGGACACGAAGCACATCGCCCGGAGCCGCCGACTCCCAACCCTCGGTCGGCGTGTACCAAGGATCCTGCTTTGGCGGAGTCGGGCCAATAAGCGTGGCATCCGTGCCCGTATCCGAGCGAGTCCAGGAGACAGTGGTCGCCGGTGCCGCAACGGCGACACTTATCAGACAAGCCACCAGAAAATGAAAGAGCGACAGCATGGTAGCAAGCTATGCGGGCGAGTATAAAAGAGTGTAAATGGCCACGAGGGCTAGAGCCGCATGATCATAGCTCTCGAGGACGATTGATTATCTGGGATCGCCCTAGACTATGTATATCAGGCTCAGATGATCCTGAAAACAATAGGTCGTGGCTATTATTACTGCGAGCCCGTCAGCCGACCGGCTAATTGATTTCATGGCTTGTCTTGACCAGTTACGTGGTCTGCAACTCTGGCTATGCCTGCAACGGCTTCTGGGATCCGCAAAGATTCCCTATAGGGTCGACAATTGCATTCAGGGTTCCCTCGAAGGGCTCGGTAGCATCGCGACTCTCTTCGGGCGCACGTTGTGCGATTTCTCGTTTCTGTATACAAAATTAGGAAGCATACGACGAAGTTCTCAATCCGGCAACCTGAGCAGATGTTTCTTCAGCACGCGAGATTTGAGCCGATGCTGCATCGCTCCTTGGACCCAGACCAGTGGCTGCCATGGGCTTCACAACATTGGTATTGTCGGACGGAGGCCCGAGGCTGGTTGGGAAGGTCTCATCTCAATAACAATCAAGATGCTTCGATGGGATGAAACGTCGACCTCCCACTTTAGGCAAAGTGAGTGGTTCGTCATTGGTCCCTGATGCAACCTCGTGGCCGGAACCAATAGCAATATGGGAATTATAGTCAGCTTGGGCCAGCGCATGTGAAGGCGACAAGGGGAGAGTGTGGAGTGCAGTGCTGTTGTGCCATTGGTCAATGGGTCATCGCTTATAGTCGACTGCCTACTTGAACCACTTTTCAAACAAATAAGAGTCTTTTGTATGAATATTTCAATCTCTCAATCGCCAGGCCCTTCTTCGGCTGTGGGGTCCACCAAAGTAACGCTGATATGCTACAGCAACGTGGTTCAGGTATCTGGGAAGAAATGCGGGCAAAAACAGATCGAGATGGTGTCGCTCTGCTGCTGCGTACTCCCTGTTCGCACGTGGAATGGGTCTTGGCCGAAGCTCCGTACAAATCTCGTCGATCTCCGAACTCGTACGAATTGCTCCGCAGACTGAAGTTCCTCTCGCGTACATATGTAGATAACGCTCGTAGATATCGGACGACGAAAAGATTCCGACGTAGCAGACGAAGACTTCTTAGCGAAGGTGAGGTTGTAGAACATTGACCCAAATTGGCCAAGACGGCTCTGGACCGAGTAACGAGCCGGCCTACCGACTGCCGGTGCTTCCCACTTGTTCTTTTCCTATTACGCACACCTTGGTTCTTTGTACAAGGGATGATAGTGCCAAGACCGCCTCGCCACACCATCACATGACTGGATGGTGTCAATCGCTTCATTCGACCAACACTTGGCTCCTTGTGCTGGCAGCCAATTCGTCTCGCTAGTTCGGAAGAAGTGCGCTCCCGTCTTCCGAGCCTTTTAACAAATCCATTGAGCTTCATCTGATGTCGGTCAGATCGCGTAAGGTTGTGGTCGGCCTGCAATCCGACCTCGCCTATCCAAGTCTATGTCAAAAAGAGCCTCTCATGCGGGTTGGAGAGAATATTTGACCCCCGAACGACCGGCCTGCTTTTTGAGGTCTCGTCTCTTGTGATCTGGACCAAATCCTCGTTGGCTTCCTTCTTCTCTTGGTAGTAGAAAAGGCTGGGGGGTTCAGGACCAGCATCATAGTAATGGCCTGACTACGATGTCACACGCATATGTTGATAATCCAGCAAGTTTTGTGCCCAGTGATTGTTGTGCTCCAATCTTTTGCTCGACCAAAATATGTCACTCGCTTAGTATCGGTGAGAACGCGTCGTGGCTCTGCAGTTCCTGGCCGTATGTACATTGTCGGACGATATTGAAGTTGAGCACTGGAAGGTAGGAGCGTAGCTGTCCATTACGGTGAGGGCTCTACGCTGTGTGCACACGGTGATATAGGTTCTCGAGGTCACCTGCTCATCAAGGCGGGAGTCCAAAGAAAGTAGGGATAGATCCATCAAGATCCCCAGACACCAAGTGACTTGCATGCTTGATGCTGGCCTTGCTCGTGTTCTGGACCATGAAATTGACCTTGATCACCAGCTGTGTTCCCAGCTTCCTCGACACAAGAAAGGCCGCATCCAAGTGTTGGTCTATGGTGAAACGCTCCTCTAAGAGGAAGGGGCTGCTCATCGGGAGGTTCTTGAATAGTCCTTGCTCTGATCGCCACCTCCAATTGTCGAGTATTTCGTGCGCATTAGTATCGATGGGGAATTTTTGGATACGGTATACTGAAGTTTTCAAGTTATCAATCCCATCCGGCAATGGCTAAAACAAAGCACCCCACTATTTTTGGATATCATTTGGTGAAGTGAAATTTAGTTATTGCTTGAAGAACAAAATGAGATAGGTCGAGTGTGAGGAGTCTTGTTGGCAAGTAATCTCAGTAAACTTACAAAATTGAGTGCAGCTTTTAGCCAGCTTAAAGTATGCTACAACAAGCTTGTCAGGCCCTGACAAAATCCAGTATCTTTCACGGTGGTCCAGCATCGAAGTCTTGACTAAGCTCTCTGACGTGGCGATCTCATAGTTGTTCCTAGATGCGAGAGCGCACATGGAGTGAGACGACTCGACGATGAATACCTCAAACGTTGCCAACCGAGAGTGGCTGCTGAGCAAGGGCACCATTTCTAGGGGTATTATTTTCCAGCTGAACACGTCCTCGTTCGAAACAAGAACATATTTGGATGACACAAAACACCGCTTGACCTGCTGCCGAAAGAATTGGTCTTCGTCCCTGCCAATCGAGGCGATGAGCCCTACGCGCCTCGCAGCAGGACTATCGCTGCGAATCCGCTTGTTATTTCTGGTACTGTACAGAATAGGTATCTGGTTGGCAGGGTTGGAAACTTCCAACAGGCTCAGCGCAATCAGATGCCAATCCTGGTCCTTTATAGACGGCAGCGAAAGGGCCTCAATATCCTGTTTTGTTAGTTTGCGACATGGGAGCTGGATGCGTAGACCAAACTCTCCAGCATGCCTGACGTAACGCGGATCACTCCAGTGCACCCGTTGTATATGCATCCGCATTGGGACTGCAGCAAAATCCTCTGGCGATTGTGCTGCGAGCTTCTTGGACTTGCCCTCGTCCAGTGCAGAGTTTCCAGGATTCCAGGGTTGAATATCGAAGAACAGAATGGTCTGCTCACCTCCGGCTAGAATATACTCTTGCAGCCTATAGAAGGCTTTCGAACCCTCTCCATATAGCAGCGGCACTGGATTGTCGACGTTAATTACTTGCTTATCTGCTGGGGATCGAGTTTCAAGAAGCAATCATTTGTTGCCCCCAAGTATTAAAATAACATATTTCGAGTGTGCTTACTGTTAATGTCGAAGAGGCCGAGCAGACTGTACGATACATCTTCTGCCCTGGTAGCCTGCCTGCCGGCTGCCCAACGCATCTTCTCGCATGCCGAAACTTCCATTACAGGAAGTTCGTGGGTGAGGACACCGTAGTAGATGCCCGTGGCCTGAGCGAGACGAGTACCTAGCTCAGCTTTAGTGGCCAAGTAGGACCAATGAGCGCCATAGAAGCACACGGATCGGGGAGCAATGAGCTCTTGAAGCGTCCAGGATCGATGGAACCAGCGACACGGGTTTAAGGCATTGGGCGGGCGAGCGTTTCCGGCGCGGACGCTCGCCATTGATTCCAGGCACGTCTCGAGGGCTGGCAATGAGTCGACATCGCTCAGGTACGCGTAGCAGACCATGGCATTCTGGTACCATTGATACATGGAGTTGATGGCCTCTGACAGCTCAGCGCTGCTGCTCTTGTCGATGCAGCAATTGTCAATCCACACCCAGTCCCAACCATCGGCGAGCGCCCGGGCACAACATTGCTCGACCTTGATAAAGCCCCTTTCTTTCCTCCTGCGCGTCTTGTGCATGTCTTGAAGATCGTCGAAGAGAACCTCGTCATCCTCCCAGGTATGCGACAGTATGGCATAAGGCGGGATCCCGGCGCCGACAAACTCCCTGAGTTGGTACGTGCTGGTATTGATCAATCTCATGTCCAGTCTGTATTCAATGTTTGCAGCAATATTGATGAATTGCCAGTCTCTCTGTTCTCACAGCTGTAGAATTGAGAAAAAGAAGGTGGGGGTCTGGTAAGTTGGATCCTTCCCAACGACACGGCATAATAACTTGGCCTAGGCCGTCTCAATGGAAGGGTCGCAAGGACCAAAAACAGGATAAACAACACGAGGTACTAGTGCTGAACTGAATTGAATGATTCAGGAACATATCTCGAGCCAACATTCAATCTTCACTTGCTGCACACAACGCACGCCGCAATGTTGCAAAGTTCAAAATGCATCTGCTCTACTTGGCAGAAATGTGATATTACTCTCATTTTGCACCATTGAAAGAAATGGTCGTCATGATGCAAGATGGCCGTTCCAGTCCTTTTATATGTAGTTACTGGCAACAATTGACTATCTACAGCTCTTTCATCTCATCAAAGAGTAGTCTGGTACCAAGGCAAAGCCAACACACTCATCTGCATGTCATTACATAATATTAGGTGAGTGTGTCAATCTTCGTCCTTCCTCTGCCCTCTGCGAGCACTCACTCATTGAAATACATGCTGATGCCGTGAAATGTATCGCTTCTTCTTTTCTTTTTTTGCTGGAGCTCCCAACACACAAATCATAGTTCCCCCTCATGCTTATGAACCTCCTGTGACAAAGGAAATAGTGGGATATCAAAAGCAGTCGCGATCCTAGACCTCAAAGCAGGGCGACAAAAAATACAAATAAACGCCTCGAGCCCCAAAAGCAGCCTGAACCCCTTAGTCTATGCTTTCTCTTCCGATGCGATTTGGGATGTGATGGAAAAGAGGATGATTAGTCGAAAATGTAACGGGAAAGCTTTCTCGTAAACGTGTCGTGACTGTGCGTAAATGCCAGCGGCAAGCTGAATGATGCTGATGCATGATGTAGTTGGTTGTATTTGCAATTCCTCCACTTTCATCGCTTCCCGTCCAGAGACGTGGCATGTGCCGCTCTTTACCGCAGAACATGTCCGCTACTTTATTTCCGAAACGTGATGCCACATCCCATCGCTCGGAGCCACCTAATCTCTGGTTCGGCGATGGGTCTGAGATTCATCAAATTCCGGCGATGGAGATTCATCATGGTCCGGCGAGTCAGGTTGCTACCACGGACCCACGCGAACAGGTGCTCCGTAGTTGCCCGACAAGATGTCGTCTAGGACTGAAGGTTGTTGCTGTTGCTGCTGATGAGAGGGCGAGCTGGTTCCGCTAGGACCACCACCGACCCAGCCAACATTGGCTGCCATGGCGCTAATGGCACTTCCCAGACGTCCTCCAGATTGTTGGTTGTGCTTGGCCAAGATCTGATCCCAATTGCCGCTGTGCAAAACAAATCCAGCGCCCTTCTTGGCTGCTTCATTGATGACCAATGCCCAAGCTCTTGAAATCTCGTCATAGGCGTTTTCCTTGTGGTGGCGATATGTCTGGCTTTCCCAGTCGGGCAGGGCGTGAATGAGCTTGGTAGCGCCGTCAAGATACTGAAGTGAGATGGTGGCTTGCTGCTCATTCGGCGGCAAGTACTGGGGCGTGAAATCGGCAAGGGCATCGAGAAGATTGACCAGAGGTGTCTTGACTCTGTAGTACGCATAATCGGAGCTCGTCTCTCCGTAAGGGAATGCGGCCTGAAGTTTGTCCTGGTACTCCTGCAGGACTTGGAAAGCCGATGTGACAGAGGGTCTGGGTGCGCTTCTCACAACCTCTGCGCCAATCTCTGGCTGCCTCTCGCAAATTTGTTGGAGGACGCTTCGTAGCGATGCTGCATCGAGAGTCTCAAGAAGTCTGGGAAGCGTCAGGGGGCGTCCAGTAATGTCGTTGGCACGGTATCTCTTCATGGGTCGAGCCAGTTGGCGGTTCTGAGCGGCTGGAGATGAGGAAGGTGAACTAGACATATCGACATCATCGTCGGCCTTGCGCTTGCGGTTGGAAGACATATTGAGAAAAGGGGAGTCTGCAGAAGCGACATGGTTAGTACGACATCAATCTTGAACTAGTACTGCAAGCAAGATGCAGAAGGCCGCATCGAGGGCAACCAGCGACGGGGTGTGCGTCGAGTTCTTGGGAGGTTGATCTGTTTGACGACAAAGGAAGAGAGGGAGACATACTGGCTCTGGTGGGTGAGCGTCGGGCAGGATCGTGCTGATGAGGGAAAAACGGGGGCTGCGGCGACAGCAAGACGTTCATTATGTCTGGCGACGCAGTGATGGAGTCGTGTCGCCGCCGTCGCAAAAGAGCTCGACTGCTGGAAAATGTATTGAACAACCGAAATGAGTGCTTTCAGGTACTGTTTCGATTTTGCTGAGGTCGGGTGCGGCGATCTGCCGATGGCGGCCTAATGGTGGTCGGCAGTCTCTGGGCTGGCGCTGTGACGGCTTGGGAGGCGCCTGGTCGTGGGTCCGACGTTGTGGTGATGGAGGCGGGATGGTGGGTGGAAATGCCAGAGGGGGAGAAATGAAGTGAGAAATCAGAAGAAGCGGAAGAAACGCAGACAACGCTTGATGTGAGAAGAAACTGGTGGATGAGTCGGCTCGACTCGGCGTGAGGGGTTTCGACCGTCGAAGAAGGGGAGCAGCACAAGCCCAAGTGAGTGCCCAAGCAGCACCTAGGAGGAGGGTGGTTTGATTGAGTGAATGGGAACGATCGCTTCTGTGCAGACAAAGTTGGATCGAGTCTAGTGTCTGTTCGGCGTCGCTGTGGATGCAGAGTTACCTAGCGACAAAATGCTTAGGCCTCGTTGTCATTGCATGGGACCTGGCTGGCTTTGGCTGGGTTGTGTGTTTTGGGTCCCGGTCTTTTTTTTTTTCTCTTCCCACCCACTAATTAAATGCGCCGAAACCCCACTATGGAGAGGCAAAGAATTCCAAGAGAAAGATTATGGTCAAGACAATAATCACAGACAATCGACTACCTGATTGTACCCTTTCATGTATGAATAATCTACTTTAGGAAAAAAAAAAAACCCCCCCCGCAATAGTTGTTCATTGAAAACGATGCACTATGGAATAAAAATAGGTACCAAAATCTCTCAAGAAAGAGACGACTAATTGTGCAAGGTCCTTCTTCTCATGTCCGTTGCCTGCTGGATTCATTTTTCAACAGGTCCTATCCTTGCTTTGGCTTGCCTGCCCTGTCTTTGCTCCCCTGCTGAGGCCGCCTCTTATGTACGTACCTACGTAGTAGCTCTGTGGTCGTTGTCTGTTGTGTCGGTAGGTATGGAGTTTGAGGTGGCCTGCGAACTGGTGGACTCTGGACCATGATTGGCCTTTTGATCTCTTCTTCTTCATGTCATCCAGTTTGGGTCTGCGACTGCGTGGTTCCAGTCACTGACAACATTGAGAACCCCCTCCAAAGTAAGCCACCATTCAATACGTTACCACGGAGAACGGACTGCACTTGAATCGGAAACAAAATCGCCATGAATGGGTTCAGGCGCAAAGTTGAACGCCAACAATACCGAAAACCACAGGAGTATCACCCTAGGTACTTTATTCAGTGACATGCAAATACATTACCTACCACTGTAACAATGAACTTTTAAAAGTGCCCTGGGTACTTCTTTTCCTCTAGGTTAGGCAATTGTGGTCCTGTGAATTGAAATTATGAACGCGACTTCATTTAGTAGGGCAACTACTATGCAGCTGGCACTATAATTGCCTTTGCCTACCTACATAGGCACCTCAAATGTATATTGAATGAGGCAATGCAAGCGAAAAGCCTGCAATTTTGGGCAGGTTGAGGCTGGCTTATTGGCTTGATTGGACTTGGTGACAGTTTTAGTACATACATAGTAATTAGCCATCTGATCACAAGTTTGGCCAGGGAGCTACTACTACCTAGGGCATATAGATCGTGTATCATCATTGATTGACCAGTGACCGGCCACTCTTGCCACTGCACACTTGAGAAAGGCGGTCAACATTGAACCGACACCAGTAAAAAGGTACATCCGCAAACCGGCCGGCCGGCGACAGACAAGTTGACAAAGAATGCTTGTTGTTGCCACCCAGCCCGGGCTTCTCTCCGGCTTTGAAGATGAATGATAATAAGGCCGGGGCCGGGGGCACACCAAAGGCGGATATTTCAGATTTTATGACTGGATCGCGGGGAATTGACTGCCTGGGCACCTACAGAGTAGATCGATTGACTGGCCAAGCAGCCACACAGCCAAGCAAGCAAGCGATCGACTGCCCATCAAAGCAAATGGGAACTCCCCTCTCCCTCGACACCTCTCAACTTTCAGGCCTCACATTGGAAGCAGTGCAAGCCACCCAGCGTGAGCGATTGGTAGACTTGGCTGACAGTTGACCTACAAAGTAGTGTACTAACCTAGAGGATTGGCTGCATGCGCTGGCACTTTAGCGGGGATGTGGAGTGCAGTGAGCAAGGTCACACAGCTCCAGCTTCTCACCAATCACCTCTTTGAACAAGCTACACGTCCAGAGGTCCAAAGGGGTCATGTTCATTTTTAGCTTTCCTTGATTGCTTCTTAGGGATATGTCTGAGCGAGGAAGGAATTCGCTTCCGAATGCCGCTTCACAAGTCAAATGACCCTGCCTGTTTGGACAAGTCTCATGTATTGCCCCAAGGACGGCAGAACCTCACTATCAAACAACCTAAATTTACTCTGCCTTGGCATTATTTCAATTCTTGGGTTCGACTGACAGCAAACACTGGTTACTCATCAGCGTGGACTATGCCAAGAGAATACATTTTTCTTCAACATACGCAAAAACAACCTATACAATTTAGTTTAATCAATAGTTTCCATGGCAATACACGACAAGCCAGAACAACGATTTACATTGGGGCATTATACTGCATTAAAAATCCTAACTTTGATTGAATAAAGAGAGAAGATCTGTGATCCTCTTGAGTAACAAGCTAATACAGAAGCTATACATTTAAAACATCATCAGCTTGACAAATCCGCAGCGCGACTGAAGATAGGCGAAAGGATCATGACAGTGACCAATACCAATTTAAGGGGCTCTTCATAGCGTACATGAAAGACTTGCCCTCAAAGTTCGCTGGCTTTTTTGACCTCCCGCTTGAGCTTTATCAAGATCTTCTTGGAGTGTCTTGTTTGCTCAGAGTTCGGTTGGCAGGGGACGCTACTAGGGCTTCTAGTAACAAAAACAGTGACAATTGCAGGAGCTTCTGAGATAGTCCTGGTTAGGCATAAGGATATGCAACACATGAGTAGTGCATTCATAAAGTGGCCCATGAAACTTGGACGAGATCACGTACGTCGACTGGATCCCATCTTGGTGGACAGTTTCACAAATGGAGGTATTGAAAATCGGAAGCAGTGATGCCCGAGGCCACAGATATAACCTATATATGATGAGTTGCATGTTGGTAAATAACGGCTCCGGATTGCCTAACCAGCTCTCGTAAAGATCAAGTGATTTGATCTAGTATGACATTGCATTGGGGTTTCCTTGTGTGACCGAGTCTGCAGTTATTCGTTTCTAGTCACTTTGTCAGAAATAAGTGTGCAACTCGTTTCATAGATGCTCAACCGTCGGGCCGATATCTGTAGCACCGTGCCATCCAAGGAAGCACAGCAGCGGAGATAGAGAATAAACAGCGTAAAATTGAAGTTGAATCGATATTTTACTCGACATTGGATGCGCCCTTCTGACTAGGCGTAAGTCGGTCTTCCAAATTTGACAAATTCCCAGAACCTCAGCTCAAAGTATGAGAGAGTCAGACACTAATTGGAATTAATCAACTTCTTGTATCTACAATCGACACTGCAGTACGTCTTTGGCTGGCTCGGTGATTAATTCAAGGTTTGGCGATGCGATCATATGGACCCACCACTCTTGCCCAATTCTTCGGTCCTTGATCATCATATCGAACCTTTTCGATAACCCATCCAAACATGCCGTGACAGTTTCTCATGCCATAGTAAGGTACATTAGATGAAGAAAAGAATTCAGTGATTAGCTTAAAATATACCCGTCTTTTGTATCTTATCGTTTGTCATTATTGTTCTGGGATGGGTGATGCCCATTTCTGTGGGGCCTTGATTTTACAGTAGTAGAGTAACGTTAAGTGGCAAATGTTCAACAACAAGCCCGCTTGGCTCATCGGTAGAGCGCCTCACTAGTAATGAGGAGGCAATTGGTTCGACTCCAGTAGTGGGCAAGAACAAGCAGTTCTTGCCACCAATCATACGGTCCTAAATAGGCCGACCGATTCCTTTTTTGCATTTCGAAATATTTTAATCAATACAATAGCCAGGACTACTACTCCTTGGTTACTTTTTTAATCACTCTGGTCCTTATCACAGTGACTGTAGCAATTTTTTGCTGCCAATTACCGTGGCAGGTAAATCCAACCTGCTCACATGTCGGCGCATCTTGTTGAGACCTTGACACAGGGAAATAGACAACAACATAATAGAATCTATAGAGTACTAGTGTGCGTGTAATAGAAGAAATAGGTAAGCTCCCAAATTTCAATTCACTTTATTCGTAGCAAAACCTTGCTCACTGATTATCCATCGAAGCAACTCTAATGTCGAAACCCGAGCTGGCAAAATTGAGTAAATTCCTGTTCAAGAACTTGCAGCGCTGTCTGGACCTCTGTTGAAAACAGAACCATCACTCTTGGCCGAGCCGCGGACAGTTCGAGTCCTATCCGGGGGTGTATAACATGCTTCTTGCACCTTGGCGTGTTGTCGTCGTCTCTTGTGCCGAAGTAGAGCCCAAGTAGCCAACCCAACTACAGCCACAGCCCCCGCCATGGTGCCCGTCGCGGCGACTGTTGATACCCTGGACTCGTTACCCGGGGCCTCGACCGGGAACGCCGTCACTGTCACCTCACCAAGGCTTGACGAGGAGTCCGGCGACGGCGCCGTCGTCTCCACTGCGGTTGTGTAGGTCGCCTCGCCTCTCTCGGCGAAACCAGCCCCCTCGGTCAAGGATAGCGGAAAGACCTTGTGATAGACGAGCGCCCCGTTGCCGGACACGGGAACGTGCCAGGTGGCGGCCTCCTGGCCGTTGCTCAGCGTCGTCGCGGGATCAAAGCTCATCCACACCTCGGTGGGCTCGCTCACGGCGCTGACGCAGAGCCTCTGCGGGCCGGCCGTGGCGTCCATGGGGCCCACGCCCGACGTGCACTGCCAGTCGCCGGGCGGGCAGCACCACGCCTGCGGGTACTGCAGCCCCTCGTGCGTGAGCGTCGTGGTGCAGGCCGCGCTCCACTGGTTCGGGCAGGCCGTCCCCGGGTAGGCGAGGGTGGACCGCGCGCCCTCGGACGTGGCGTGCGGCCAGTCGTAGACGGCCTGCTTGCGCTGGTCGCCAAAGAGCTCGTAGTAGTTCTCGGGCATGCAAAAGTTGTTGTACGCCATGTAGACGCCCGTGCTCAGCGCCACGACACTCTCGACGGCGTTGACGCCAAAGCAGAGGCTGACACCAAACTGGTACGATGTCTGCGGGTAGACGACCGTGGTCAGGTCGGCGCAGTAAACTGATGGGGTGCATCCTGGGCCATCGTACGAAAAGGGTGTTGTTTGTGCCGGTAGGTACAGAGACGTTGAACTTGGTTCGTTGCTGGCTGCTGTTGCCAACGCGGTGAATTCCACTGTACTTGTTATCGTGACTGTCCTAGGGGCCATGTTGATGGTTTGGAGGTAGAGCGTTGTTGTTGAAACTTGAATAATTGATATCTCTTTTAAAATGCAATCTTGATTATCGAGACATATCATGGCATTATATAGTTCGTATTTCTGGGCCACTTGCACAGAAGCCAGGGCATGGATCCGCCAGCTCGATCTCTGCCAGATCGAAACAAAAGTCGACAGCTCATCGTGTCACTCAATGTGCAACTACACTTTGAGGCAATAGAATTCATCACCTGTGCACAACAAGGCAATCTAACAGGAACCCGTGTCATGGAATAATGTAAACAGTTCTAGAATAAAGGACCGCATCACCTGACCAACCAATGTGAAAGGCTGGACGACCCTAGTATTGCTTTAACCTAGGTCATATTCTATTTCGCTCGAAGGTATCACGATGTGACGCATGTTGTTACTTGGTGCTGTGACGCAATTTGCTAAACTAATGCTTTCGTGCAACAAAGTTGCATACGCCCGTGACTGACTTTGCGCGAGAAAGCACGCCTCATCGTGACGAAATGGACAGCGAGATGACAAAGAGTGCCGACTCTGCGACCATAAGACAAGCAAACACTACAAGTTGATCACGATAGACAGGTAATATAACGGAAATCAGAATCATCATCTCCTGCACGAAGCCTATATGCCCTTTAGCATGGGCAGTCATAGGTCGGCTTCAGGGAAAGGAGATCACACGAAGCAGCAATCAAGGCATATATCTGTATCTTGTGCGGAGTAACACATATAATACGGACAGACATTTGCATAGTGTACCCACAGCGAGGTCATCTAGAAGGATGTTGATGTTCTAGAATTGCCAGAGCATTTGGTAGGGACTCTGCTCGTTGCATTGCTTAGAACGAAACGGTAAAATAGGATCAAGCCCAAACTTTGACAAAGACCATCCAAACATCCAGTACTCGAAAGCCCGTCTCGTCAAACTTGTGAGTATCGAAGATAAGTTGACCCTGAGCTTGGGCCATACTATGGAGATTATGATACAACAGATTGCACCTTTGCTCGTCATGGTCTCCGACTTTAGGCAGGTGAGAGATGCTGCATTCGGTCATCAGCACCATATACCAACCTAGTTTCGTAAGCAAATGGATGACCATAGTTTGACCTCAGGCTTTTGAAAAGACTTTTCCTGAAGCTAAGGCATCACCGTTTACTACATCTTTAAAGTCAAAACTATCATATAATCATGTATGAACGTCGGATTTGTCAGCCTCCATGTACCATTAGCCTTTTGTATTCTATTCTTCCAGGATTTATCTGAGAAGTACTAACAATGTTTAGGGAGGGCACCGTGGATCCTGAGCGTGCTTGATTGAATGTTCGTTCAATAACCCACAAAAAATTCCAAGTTCAGATCTTTGCGAGTGGCTAAATCTCTCAATACGGGCTCCTTCACCAAGACTAGCACATCGAAAATGATTTCGAGTAATATCACCTCATCTACATCTTGACCGACTGTGACGCGACATCGCATCTCCAAGCCCTCTTGTGAAACCCAGACGACCATCATGTATACGGAGTATTGATACGTCGTCGGTACTAAAGTTCCAAAAACCGGCCCCGTAACAAGAACCATAGAAGCCCATCGCCCCTCGGAAGCATGTAAGACTCGGCACTCGGTCCAACCAGAATCAAACTCCGTGATATCGCCACTCGCTCACTCAATAAAACAGGCATCTTACCGCGAGGACGGGAACGAACAACACCATTATTGCTCCGCCGCGGGCTCTCGTCTGCATACCGAAAGAAGAAGCATTTTTGTATATGTGTGTATAAGCCCATAATTGCCACGAGGTCATGTTCTTGAAGATTACACGACATGAAAAAAAGGCGTCAGCCACCCTTTCTTCATCCCTCAACCAAGTCCCTTGCAGCATTGAAAGTTGGGATATGCACAACACACCCTCTACCGAAATCGGCCGTCACTTGACGCAAGTCTCATTTGGCAACCTGCTTTCTTGGCAGCTGCCTTACCATCCTAGAATCCCAACCGGCTCCTCTTTTCAATGGGGAAAAAGTTACATGAGGTCTTTCGTTGTTTGGACTTCGGTGAGTCAGCCCGTGGCGTTGCTCCTACCCGTCCATAGATACAGTATATTGCATCCCACCTTTTTTTTTTTTCGCTTTCGTTCCCGGGGACCTATGGAGATTTGACAAAAGAATAATGACACAGTAACATGCAAGCGTGCGGCCAAGAGAAGGCCGTGGGAGAGGACAAGGTTCAGCCCCGTAAGGCAAAGGGGGGAGGACCCGGAAATGGGGGAGGGAAGGACGACGGATTCTCCCCTCGTCCCCCCTTCTGCCCTCTAGGAGGGAATTTCCGCCCAGGCTTTTCTCCCATTCGTCAGATAATGGGCCTTGGTCATTTCTGCCGTGCAAAAGTCATTACCGAAATTTCCAACTGCACCTTTCGCGTGGTTCCTCTATCCGGGGTGGCGGACTGCGGCTACTACTCGGGGCCAGAAAAGTTTTGTGTACGTTGGGACCCAAAATTCAGAAAATGGATAACGGGAAAAAAAAAGAAAAGGAAAATTAGACAGAAAAACAAGAAAAAAGGGTTGTTGGCCGTGGTACTTTGCAACGTATATCTCATTTTTACCACATGGTCTGTCTGCCTTGCAGCGGGGCAGCGTGGGAAAGGGTAACACGAGCCTCTTCGCCTGTATCTATCCATGAATTCTTGGACCCCCATTCCGCCAAGAATATGTTTTTTTTTTTAATTTAAAAAATCACTTCTTCGTTTTCTTCTTCACGGTGGTAGTTGCTACTGCCATTGCACCGCAGTTGGCCTTTCCCCTACGTTTACCCCACCTGGTTCCTGTTTCATGGGAATTGTCCCGGTGACCCAAAACGGGAAAATACAGTATACGTTTATTCCTTCAATTCACCTCGGTAGGCAAATCCTGAACCGAGCAACTAGTGGCGAGTGGGAAATGTTTAGATCACGTTTTGCTATATGCGCCTCGGTCTCGATTCAATCAAAGTCGTTATTCTCCGGACCACTGATGGCATTTGCTTATCTACCAGCGTTGCACCTGCAGTTGAGCGGCAAGTAGAGAGTATACTTGTAGCAAATGCATCACGTGTGGCCATAAATACGCCTTATCATCTATGTACCTGCGTTAGGAACATGTCAAGGCATATTTTGAAAGAAAAAGGCGCATGTCTAATCAAGAAAAAAGCCTACATGCAAGGTTCCTTTCTCCGGGATGTCTAGGAAGAAAGAGAGAAAAACGGGCCAGAACTTACTATAACTCGTTGCCGAGCGAGGTTGTCATTGGGGGCCGAAGATTCGGGGGCCAAGTTGCGGGAATCACGGGGGACGGACGACGGACGGGGCTGATGGAAATAAGGAGGGTGTGGACGGGCGCAAAAAAAAAAAAAAAAAAAAACAAGTGTATCTGTCAAAAGACCAAATGCCCCATTCGCGGCTAGTTTGCCATTGGAAGCTTCTACTTTCCCCCCATTCTCACGTTCCACGGCTCTATCCCGTGCCGCTTGCTTTCTTGTCCGCGATAATGTCTCTGCCTTGTGGTGGCGACTTGGCTTCGGCTCTTGTCCATGCAAAATGCAGATGTTTTGGGTCAAGCCACCGAGGCGCTGCCATTCACTCATCCGTCGGTCGATTGCTTCGATGATAGAAGAAAAAAGATGTAGCTTTGTCATTCTCATGTGGCGTCGGCTGAGCCGGCAGCCAATGATGCATTACCTGGATAGGCATTCTGCATGATCGGCAAAGAGGTGACTGTAATTGGATCAAGGGTAGATCACAATCTGAATATAGAAACCCCCTTGCTTGATGCAGCATCTCATGGTCACTTGGTGCCATGAGTAAGTGTATGGAAGATTTGAAGTTGCAAAATACCTACTTGGAAGAATATTTCATTCCTTTGTGGCACAGGACTCCTTCCTCCAGAGAAACATTTATCTTATTGCCAGTGCAACATAGTCGCACGTCGGATGCCGATCCCGAAGGAGCCCACAGTGTGATATTTTATTTCTGCAGTACTCGGACTGTTCTTCTCACTGTTGCACTCCTGTGACTTTATTGCACCTTCTCATGTGTTTAGTTGGATAGCGAAAGGAGCCTGAGGATCCTCCACAGTCCTTTGGAATCTTTAAATTTCGAATATCGTTTACGCATCTGCTGCATCCAATGAGGTAAATGCAACCCATCTACTCATTTATGATGATAGAGTTATGCTTTGCTTGGCGTGCAGACTGAAAATGACGATTCCACCATGGGATACAAGTTTCGTGGGATGATTGGAGCGATAGAACTCCGATCCCACAGAAGCATAGAATTTCAGGAATGGCGTTGCATACAATCATATGATGCCATAGCCAAGATCCTCAAAAAGTCGACGTGCATAGTCCGTCTATTCTTGCAATGTGACTGTATATGCTGATGCTGTCGACCTTGTAATGGTCGCCGATGGCCAGATGATACTCTGCAGCTTCGGCCTGGGGACTCGATGAGAAGGTGACCTTGTTCCAAGGATGATGTGTTACACCAGGCTTGAACTTTGCTATTGGTGCAGTAGTCGCAGTGAGTATATGCCCAAGGCTGATTTTGCTGAATGATTGATGCATAGTTCCTGTAGTTCTATGAGCAATCAACTTTATAATGATGGAAAAGATGATACGAGAAAACTAGGACAACCCAAACTGGAATGGTTTCCCAACCTTGTCATGTTCGGATTGGCCAGGCCTTGACTCATCTTTTGCAAACCGCCCCATTAGTGCAGTCATGTCTCTGGCAATATGAAGCCAAACATGGTCGATTGGTCGTAATGCTTGGCTTTGAGAATGCGTTCAAGTTACAATACTACCTACTTGGGAAAGGAATTAAACAGTATTGACACATGTTTCCTATTCTACCCAGAAATGCGATTGATTTGGTGTACTTCGTATTCCGAGTAAGTCTGGGGAGAATTGCTTCACCGAGAGTGATGTGTTACAACTGCTTGTATACCCGG